TTTTTTTGTTTTTTGGTACTGGGAACCACTCAGGACCTCGCATTTGGCAGGCAGGCACTGTGCTGTTTCCAGCCCTTAACATTTAATAGAAATTATGTACAATAAATTTTCACCGTATTTTACATACAATAGCCTACCGCCAAAATGTACATAGCTTAGAAGACAGTTATTTAAGGAGGCCCCAGTCCCATGGGATATTTAGAGCTCATCTGGGAAAAGGTTCAGACCAGGTTAAGTGGATGTAATGAAGAAAGGCTAAGATGCAGGCCTCTGAGTAAAGAATCACATGATGGGACCAATATTTCAAAGGCACCATTCTTAAACACAGGCCCCCACCTAGCCATCTATGTGGATTCCTGCCCACAACTTAGGAAGTAGCATTCCAAAGAGGTCTTTCCCATCAGGTAAAGTCCCAAATATTCACTGAATCCCAGAGATAGGGATATCTCTCCTCCTGGCCCAGAGTGGGAGGACCCCACAACTTGCACACAATTGACCCATTTTCCCCAATTTTAGCTTTTATTTAACTACAACTCCAACCCAGAAGGAAAACAAGGCAAAGTTGCCCCATTTGCAAAAAAGATGATCAAACATACTTCTTTGAGGAATGGAATTTCAAATCGACCAAGCCAAATAGTTCCTAGAATAAACCATCAACTGACAGAAGTAGACTCTGACTTCCCATTCGCAGGAGCAAGTCCACTTTGAGGCAGTGATGCACAGACTTTCTCAGAATTTCGAGATCCCTGGGGTCTGCACCCATCTCCAGCCATCGGCATCTGGCCCTGTGAAAAGTAATGAACACATAGTATGAAACTGACTGTGGTCTGAAGCATGAATCTGACTTACCAAAGCCCTTATCAAGATAGCAACAAGAACAAGACAACAGAAATAAGATAACCATTTCTCCCAGTACCTAGCTCTGCTATCCCTCAAGTCAGAAGTCACTACTTATATCTTTCATGAGTCTCTCCCAGTGGGAGAAAACAGTGTGGGTTGTTTCTTCCAGATGAAACAGTCATTCTCCACAGAGATTCCAGAGATGCCAACAAACCACAGGAAGCCATTCGTGTAGGCCTCTGCTTGAAACCAACAGCTACAGCATAACTGCTAGTCTTCAGTCAGGGCCATAAGTGTTCCACTCACATTACAGATCCTTGTTCTACAAGGACAATCGCAGTGAAGTATTGCTAAAAAGTACAATTTACCTAGTGTCCTGGTCTCAAACTCTCACTTACATATATCCTATGCTAAGATGAGTACAGGACATGAGGCGGTGTAAGGCCCATCTGGAGAACTGGAGGAGGACATTCTGAAACAAAAAAGGTCCACCACCAGAAATGTAAAACTAATCCCTCGGGGCCAGGGAGATAGCTAAGCAGTCTAAGTACCTGCCTGGCAAGCACAAAGACCTGGGTTTGGTCCCCGGTACCACATGTCACCTTGGGTGGTACAAAAAGAACCCCAGGAGCACACACTGTTAAGAGTGCACCCTACCACTGTGCTACACCCCTTGCTTTAAAAGGGCATTTAAAAAAATATATATTTTTCTTACACGGTACTGTGCCAAAGCCAGCTCGGGTGTCTTCGTTTCTACGTGTGATACCACCCCACTCCCTGGAGTACAGGCCAGCCAGAACACCCTCTTCTTCCTTCCTAAGAGAAGGAAGCCTATACTTGCCAATATATCCACTGAGCCTTCAGCACTTTCTTTGACTGAATGATCTTCAAGGGTTAGAGAAGGATCAAAAAGCAAGGGTGAAGGAGGGCATTGCATTCCATCACCTACAACATCCAAGTCCTGTGAAAGAAAAAGAAAAGTCTTATCAGTAACACAAAAGGACTTAAGCAAATGCTGGCATGTTTCTTAGCAAACCTCACAGTTATTCTCAGGTCTCTCCTTCACTCTTTACCTCCTGGAACATTGAAAAACGAAACAAAATCCAAAAGCCCCAAAAACTTTTCCATGCCACTGATTATAAAGCAGAGACAAGCTGGGAGTAGGTATAATGACATAAATGTGAAGGCCAACACACAGAAGAGGAGGCTGAGGCAGGAGATCACCATGAGTTCAAAGTTAGCCTAAAATAACTAGCAAGAACCTGTCTCAAATTTTATTTTTAAAATAAAAATAATGCAGGGAGGGGTTATTTTTTTTAAAAAAGAAATGTCATGTACATGTACAAACTTCCCATAATGAATGTAATCATTATATATTACAAACTGGTACCAATTTTTAAAGTTTAAGAAAAATTTTAAGGGGGGGAGGAGACAAAAGCAGAGACCAAGGGGCCGGGGAGATGGCTCTATAGAATAAGCTCTTGTCTGGCAAGTGCAAGGGTCTGAGTTTAATCCCTGGTTCCACCAAAAAAAAAAAAAAAAAAGACAAAAGCAGAGACCAGCAGAGTGGCTTTAAAAAAGCAAATTCCCAGAAAAAGCCATTAAAAATACAATACTGGTTACCAGTACCACATAAAAAAAGTATATACATACATAAAAACTCACACATATATACACTTTTCTACCGTAAGTGAAGTAATGAAAATCGAAGGCTTGGCAAGTCTACGTGAAGGACACTACTACTTTGGGGTTTTTTTTAATTTCTGAAACAAGACTTTGCTATGTTGTTCAAACTGGTCAACTCCTGAATTCAAGTGATCCTCATGCCTCAGACTCCCAAGTAGCAGGGCTCACAGGCATACTATTATCAGATTTTTTAATAAAGAAGAACAAAATAAAACCAACTTATTCTCAATAGCACTTTGTCTTCTTCAGTTATTACCCTGTCCTGGTATATTTTTCTTAAGAAAGGGATTGCAGGGCATGGTGGTGCATCCCTGTAAACTCCGCACTCTGGGGGCTGAGGCAGAAGGATCACTGGGAGTTCAAGACCAGCCTAGGCAACGAAGTGAGCTCAAGGCCAGACTGAACTGCATAGCGAGACTCTGTTTCAAAAAGACAAAAAAATAAAAGAGAATCTTGAGGGAACTGTGCTGTGCTGTCTGGGCCGTACTGGGAATGAACTTAAGATCTTGCACTAACTGCGTGCCCAGCCCTTTTCTGAAGAGCTAGGGTCTTGTGAGGTTGCTAAATTTGTCTAGGCTGGGATCCCACTTCATGGCCCTCCTGTCCTAGCCTCCTAGAGCACTCACACTACAAGTACACACCACACAGGGAAGCAGAGGAGCAAGTCCTTACAATGCAGTGGTGCACACGTACAAGGTGAGAAAGTGAAGCGCTCTGGGAATTCACTGCCACTCTATCAGTTCACACACACACACATGCACTATCACACATGCACACATACACACAATCAACACATCAAAAACTAAAACAGCTATCCACAGCCAAGTATAGAGGTCTGTCTTAGAGGATACACTAACTTGAAAATGAGAAGCATTACCATAGGACCAAGTTTACACTGTTAAGAGCTGATTTCAACCAGTGTGGTGGCGCCAACCTGTAATGCCAACACTCAGGTGGGTGAGGCAGGAGGATCACCACAAATTTAAGGCCAGCCTGAGCTACATAATGAGTTCAAGACCAGAGCAAGACCCAGTCTCCAAAAAAAAAATTTCTAAAGAAATCAAAATTCATTTCAAGTTCTAAGATATCACTCATCTTATGGATCAGTACGGACTCTTAAGTTCTACCTAATCCAACAATCATCTTGACTTTCCAACTTCCCTTACCTTATAATTTCCCTTCTGACGCCCTCAAAATAAGAAATTTATACCAGCAGAAACCTACAGGTGATTTTAGAAGTATCAATATGGAAGAATTTTGTTTTTTCATTAAAATTTAAGTAGTTATGTTAAAACATAAGCCCACTCTTAAGTATACACAGAGGGAATCAAAAACATGTTCCCTATAAATTCAATGTTGTAACAGAGTATTTCTTAATGGGCAAAGAGGAAACAGCTCAAATAGCACTAGCACCAACTGGATTTTCAAAGTACAATCCAAAGGCTCTGTGTAGTCACAGAGAGTGGCTTGCTCATCATGCACAAGGCCCGTGTTCAAGAGGACAAAAGAATACACCAAGGCAGTAATTCAGCCACAAGAAGGACGAAGTATTAAGACACACTACAACACAGATGAACCTTAAAAGCGTTATGCAAATTGAGAAAAGCCAAAAAAAGCAAAATTTATGGACAAAAAGTATTTAGTAGTTAACATGCTCAGGAAGCGAAGGGGAAAATGAGAATGACTGCTAACTACTGGCTTTCTAGGGGGATAAAAACATCCTGAAATTATGAATGCTGGATGATATTTGCCTCATTGTGGGAAAAAAAAAAAAATGACTGAATTATTTACTAGGCAAAGGGTAAAATACAGGCCATATGGCTGGGCATGGTGGTGCACACCTGTAATCCCAGCACTGAAGAGGTAGGAACAGCATTGGGAGTCTGAGGCCAGCCTTGGATATAAAGTGAGCTCAAGACCAGCCTGAACTGCATAGTGAGACCCTGACTCAAAAAAAAAAAAAAAAAAAAAAAAAAAAAAGCTGTATGAATTATGGGCAAAAAAAATTAGAAGGTAGGCCAGAAAATCTCTATACGAGCATGCTAACATACAAACACAACCACACATATGAATCACTTCAAAAGTGCTATCAATTCTGACCACAGAAGACTATTCTCACCATGAATAGCGGCCTTGTCTCAAGGGCCAATCAGAGCAGAGCTTCTCTAACTTACATCACTGAACTCCAGTGGTAAACTCTCAGTGGGCTGGAGCTCAGCAGCACTCCAGTACAGATCCATGGGGCCGGCTTCCAGGCCGTCTGGCACAGACAGTACCTGCTCGGGCTTATACATCTGAGGAGGCAGCTGGAAATGCAGTGGGCAGCACGGATCCTCAGAAAGGCTTACAGGGACGGCCTTGTTGCAGGGAACCTCTTCAGATCCCTGGCAGCATTTGAAGAGAACTTGATTCGTATCCTGACAAATATCTGTAGAAAAATGGTCAAGGGAAATAAAACAGGCTCTATGGGAGGGCACAAAATACAAGAGGTGCCTCCACACAAACTAAAAGTATACAACAAGTACAACTACATTTCACAGAGAAAATGCACTTAGCAGTTTTTAAGTTACTTCTCAGAAATAGACTGAAACAGGGTCCCACTTTGTAGTGCAGACTAGCCATGAACTCAGTGATCCTCCTGCCTCAGCCTCCTGAATGCTGAGATTACAGGTATATGCCACCACACCTGGCAATTCTCAAAATGTGAAGTGTCATTTCCAAGCATCTAAGTCTGGCTCTATCAGTAATTTAAAACTAATTCTTTGGGGCTGGGGAGATAGTTCAGTGGTCTAAGTGCCTGCCTGGCAACCACAAAGACCCAGGTTCTATCCCTAGTACTACATGCCGTGCCAGCCCCGGAAACCTGGGCTCACTGTGCCAGTCACCCAAACTGGTCATGCACATCTGGTGGTGCACATCTGTAATCCCAGCCTAGAGAGGCTAAGACAGGAAGATCACTACGAGTCCGAGCTTCAAATCCGAGCTGCATAGCTAGATCCTGTACCAAATAAATAAATAAAAACTAAATTAAAAGATAAAAACTAAGGGCAGGGGCTGGTGAGATGGTTCAGTGGTCTAAAGCACCTACTTAGAACAAGCTAAGCAAAAGCACAGGGACCACGGTTCAATCCCCAGCACCACATGCCAGCCAGCCCCGCCCCCTGGTGGGCCGAGCTGGCCACACACACACATAAATAAATAAATATTAAAAAAAAAAAAAACAAACAAACTAAGGGCAGGCCAAAAAGCTAACAGATTAAAGCACCTGCAAGCTGGAGCCAGGGGTTCAATCCCCAGGCCTGCCATGCTGTGCCCCACCCCTGGGGCACGCTGAGACTGGGTTTGGTGGCTCACACCTGTAATCCCAGCTCTTGGGAGGCTATAAGCAGGCGGATCACTGTGAGTCTGATCTAGCAGTGAGGCCCTGAACACCCCGTAGACGCTTCTCTAAAATATAAAAAATAAATAAAAACTAAAAGCTCGGGGAGGTGAATGAGAAATTAAAAAATGAACACATAATCTCTATGGATCAACTCCCCACAATGAATACACTCATTATGTATTACAAACACATACTATCAAGTTTGTTTTTGCTTTGTTTTGTTTTTTGGCAGAACCAGGGACTGAACTCAGGCCCTTGCGCACTTAATTCTATTGAGCCATCTCCCCAGCCCCCATACTATTAAGTTTTAATTAAAAAGAAAACAACAGCCAGGCGTGGTGATACATGCCTATAATCCCAGCATTCCAGGAGGCTAAGGCAGGAGGATCACTGAGAACAGCCTGTGCTACACAGTGAGCTCAAATCCAGCCTAAACTGCACAGCGAGACCCTGTCTCAAAAAAATCCAAAAATAAATAAAAGAAAAAATATAAAACTGATCCTCAACATGCTTTTCCTGTTTTCCCTATGACAATGCTAAACAAATAGCAATACCAATTTTAGGAAAAAACATACATGTACTCAGAAAAAACACATGATATGGGATGGGGATGGAGCTCCGCAGCACAGCGCCTGTACGGCAAGCATGAGGCCGAGTTAATCCCTAGCACAAAAAAAAAAAAATTAGAAAAACCCACAAATAGCATGCAGAAGCCTGCCTAAACTTGCAAAAACTTCTTAGACCCTGTTTTTATAACATGACAAATCCCTCTAAAGAAGCACAGCTCTGAGAAAAATAGAAAGTGATATTCACTAAGTATAATACCTTGACAAGAAATAAAGTTTTGATGTTTTTTTTTTTCCAAGAGGATGGTAGTACAGGAAAAGTCTTGTCTTCCTTATGAGGACCCATGGAAAACAATGGCTCCTACTCATTAGTAGAAACAGAAAAAGTACATTTCCAACTAGGCCAACCAGCTCAGCAGGATGAACAAAATTGTACCTCATAGCACGTATTTGATTAGGTCAAATTTCTTTTTCTTTTAGAACAAATTTCTAGTTTAAGTTACTCTAGCCTCTCACAGTGCTGCAACCACAGACACAAGCCAGCTCCACCTACCTTGGAAACTACCTGGTTATGCTGCTGTGATAAACAAGTGTTATTTTAAATCTGACCACATTTATAAACTAAAAATACAATTTTCTTTAAACAAATTATTCTAGGATTATGAAGACATGATGGATATCTTTTTTTTGAGGCAAGGTCTTGCTATGTAATCCAGGCTAGCTTTGAACTCACTATGTCTGGCCTCAAACTTTAAAGTGGCCCTCCTGTCTCAGCCTCCCACACCTGGGATTACTGGTGGGTGCCACCACACCAATTATAATTGCTGAGATCTAAAACATTATCACAGCACTAAGGAAGCTGAAGCAGGAGATCACTGTGAGTTCAAGGCCAGCCTGGGCTACAAAGTAAGTCCAAAGTCAGTCTGAGGGGCCGGGGAGATGGCGCAGTAGAATAAGCGCTTCCTTGGCAAGGGCAAGGGCCTGAGTACAATTCCCAGTTCCGGGAAGAAAAAAAAAAAAAAAGTCAGCCTAACTTAGTAAAACCTTACCTCAAAAAGAAAAAAAGGCTGGGAACATAGCTCAGCAGTGCAGCACCTGCCTGGCAAGTGCAAGGCCCTGAGTTCAATTCTCAGTATCCAGCCCCCAAAAGAACTGAAAAAGGGAGAAGGGAAAAAAAGATCTGTAAGAACAGTGAGCAACACCAGTATCCTCCATCTGCTGTCAGTACATCCGACCTCCCGAGTTAAGAAAGGACAACCACAACTTTCTCCACACATCACCCAAATGAAGAGAAAGGGTCTCAGCCATGGAATAAGAACTAGTTATAGATGATACAGGGGAAATACTTACTGAGTTATCAAGATATATGCCAGAAAAAAAAAAAATCTATCTATCTATCTATCTATCTATCTATGCTGAACGTTAATGTGATAATCTGACATATTTAAAAAACAATAAATAATGTGCTTAAGAATCTCAATACTGTTTTGACTGTCAATATTTATAACTTTAAGCAATTAAGTTACATGTTCCAAACAGAACTTTTTTCATGGATCTTCACAGACTTCTAGGGGGCCTGCCCTTAGCTCAGCTATTTAAGCGCCTGCTCATGCAAAGGCAGTCAGGAGCAAGATACTGTGGTTGGATCCCCAGCTCCACCTGCCTTACCAGACCTGCCCTTCACGCAGCCTGAGCCACCCAAATAAATGAATAAATAATCAAAAAACTAAATAAATTAATTAATTTTTTTTTTTTAAAGGGACTTCTACCAAAGTCTCTTATTCAGTATCAGGAGAGCCTAAAAAAAAAAAATCCTCCCCATCCTCTTCCACCCTTTTCCTTCACATGGGGACAGAAGGGACAAAAAGAGAATAGCTAACTGACAACTACAGTCTGGGTCCTTCACTTTCAGTCCAGGGCTGTCTCTGTGAGACCAGAGTAAAGGGTGAAACAGGTCACCAGGGCAGGCAGGTCTCTCTTTGGGTAAGAACTTAAGGAAGAGTAAGTGGCGTAGGCAGCCATGGAATAAAAAGAACAGAAAGGTAAATGATTCCCTTCACTTCTTAAATACATGTGCTTCTGAAAATATACTGTATTACACTGAGTACAGCACTTTTTTTTTTTTTGCAGTACCAGGGATTGAACTCAGGACCTTGAGCTTGCCAGGCAAGTGCTTATTCTACTGAGCTATCTCCCCGGCCCTGAGTACAGCATTTTAATACCTAAATCAAAAAAAAAAAGAAATACTTCAAAGTCCTTAGTACCTATGAACAGATGATTTTTAATTTCAGCTCAAATAGAAAGTATAGTGTGGGGGGGTGAAGGTATTATACCCTTACCATGCAAAAACATGTCACATTCCCAGTACTGAGCTCCAGAGTTAAATATAATCTACAAAAGCCCACATCCAAAAAAAAGCTCACATCCCATTTTTGTCATATTCTTGTCATCCACGTATATTCAAATATTTAATAACTAAAAGCGCCCCAAAATTATCTGCCAAAATTTACTTCAGTATTTTGTTTCTAAACCTTTTTTTGGCTGAGACAGGCTTCTGCTATGTAGTTCAGGCTGGCCTTGAGCTCACCATGTAGCCCATGATGGCCTCAAACACATGGATCCTCCAGCCTCAGCCTGAGCGGGCGCGACAGGTGTGCACGACCACGCCCGGCTCTATCTCTAAACGCTGCCTTTATTTAGAATATTAAAAATATTGGTCCGCATTTCATAATCTCCTTGAAATAAGAAATCACCTTACAAAGAATACATTTTAGAACTGTTTTGTAACTGATTCATATACTTCTCTCTAGATTCCTTAAACCTGTTAAAATTTTGGTGTTGTAGGGGCTGGCCCTAGCTCAGGCCTTTACGTGGCTGCTTCCACAAAGCTGTGCGCCTCAGCTTGCTGGAGTTCGAACCTCACACCTCTCCCGCTGGCCAAAAGTGCCCTGAAGGCATTCGAGGAATAAAATTTTGGTGTTGTAACTCTATTAAAAAAAAAAAAAAAAAATCACTGGGCTTTCTCTGCCACACAGAAGGACAGGAAGCTGCTGCTGCGCCCGGCCTCCCGCTAGCAGCATGGTCAGTGCACTAAACGGTATTCTAAACTGCAAACTGTCTCCAAAAATGCTCTCTTCAACAATCTCACCGTTAGCCAGGCATGCTGGCACACACCTATAATCCCGGCACCCGGAGGCTGAAGCGGGATGACTGCTGGGAGCTCGAGGTCAGCCTGGGCTACAAAGTGAATTCAAGGCAAGGCTGTTTCAAGAAGACAAAAAAAAACTTTTTCTTTAACAGAAACAGAACCTTGATTTTCTTTTTAACCTTGATCTTTTTCAAGTAAAATAATTATTTTTAATTAATTTTTTATTGCTTTTTAGTTTTTTGAGATCAAGTCTCACTGAACTATGTAGCTCAGGCTGGCCTGAAAATCTGAGCAATCCTCCTGCCTCAGCCTCCCAAGTCAAGTGTTGAGATTACACGTGTGCACCACCACCCCCAGCTGAAGACCTTGGTCTTTTGATAGGAAAACACTATTTTCAGTTCAGTATATTAAATAGTTTAGCAATTTATTAATTGTTGTGACAAATATCTAAGAAAGGATTACTCTTACCACATAAAATGCTTACAAACTCTGAAAATAAATACTATCTGTGGACAAATAAGAGAGAAGTGGAAGACAGTTGAAAAGTGTGTATCTCACTAAATAAGGAAACAATTTTAATCTAGTTTTGATGTTCATACCTGTCTTTTTTTTGTCAGCAGAACCGGGAATTGAACTCAGGCCCTCGCACTTGCTAGGCAAGTGCTTACTCTACTGAGCTGTATCCCCAGCCCCTCTCTTTTGTCTTTTTGAGACAGGTTCTCACTATGCAGTTCAGGTTGGCCTTGAGCTCACTCTGGAGCCCAAGCCGGCCTCTACCTCCCAAAGATCCTCCTGCCTCAGCCTCCTGAGAGCTGGGATTACAGGCGTATGTCACCAATAATCTAAAATTGTATGAATTTTAAATAAATGTAAAACTACAAAAATTATTTTAGAGGTCTCATTGTGCAGTTCAGGTGACCTTCAGGTCACTACACAGCCCAGCCTGGTCCCAAACTTGCAGCAATCCTCCTTTTTTGGGGTATTTTGGCTTTGTTTTGTTTTCTGAGACACATCCCACTATATAGCAGAGGCTACCCTGAAACTCACAGTAATCCTCCTGCCCCAACCTCCCAAGCGCTGTGATCATCAACCTGTATCACCACTCTTGGCTTAAAATTTTGTTACTTGTTTCTTTCTAATGAATTGGCCATTACATGTCTAAAGTTCTGAAATGGCCAACAGACCATAGAAAGACACCACTTTAGGCTCCTGCTTGAAGCCAACAGCTTCAGAAAGCTGCCGGCCTTGATTCAGGGCCACAGAAAACCAAGACCTTCACTGACGCACACAGCAGACTCACACTGGCCCTTGTGTAATCAGCAAACAGCCTGAACCGGAGGCTTAAAAAAGATACGGGTAAGGCAGTGTCTGGTCATTGGAAGAGACTGACTGGAACAGCGCACGTCACCCACAAAGGCCGAGCACCTCTGACTGGACCGCGTGCTGTGAGCCTAAAATGGAGAGAACAGACAAGACAAAAGCACATGCAGCCACCTGGAGTGAGAACACTAGGGTATATACAGAAAGACATATAAGCCAGAGAAAGATTAACATTTAACATCAATATTATACAAAAGAAAATTTGAAGCCTCACATAGGAGGAGCCAACTTTCACCCCCACTATACCTCTCCCTATACTCAAGTGCACGACTGTAGTACTGTCCTCGCCTAAGACTTCAGCTGCCTTTAGTCAATCTTGATCTAAAAATATTAAATGGAAACCTACAGGTATAGTGCTGGGGACACAGCCTGGCAGCACTGTTTGCCTGGCAAGTGAGAGAGAGGCCACTGGTTCGAATCCTGGTACCCAAAAGAATTAATCAATTTTAAGCAACTTTCATTACTTTATATTGTCGGAATCATCCTATTTTATAATTACTGCTATGTAAACACTGTAAAATTTATAAACTACTATACATAAAAAATTATAAAATTAAGCTGTCAGGTTTATATAAGAAATGAACAAAATATTTTTTTTTTGGTGTAACCGGGGATTGAACTCAGGCCCTGCGCTTATTCTACTGAGCTATCTCCCCAGCCCCCAAAATGAACAAAATAAACAGCAAATGTTTAAATTTTTAAAATTTGCAACAAAGGTAATCACTATGTACTGTAAATATACACTAATAATTTCCTATTATTATAGTAAAGAATATATTTCCATTTATTCAAAATACTCCTCTTGCTTAGAACACACGTATCCCATTATGATTTTTTTTTTTTTTTTAACTGAGAAAAAAACTATATATTTAGAATTAGCCAGCTGGATTCAATTGAGATGCTCCCAATCTTGCTGGCAACATCCAATGCATCACAATCAGGAGCCAGCTGAGGATATGCCTCCTTCCCTCCCTCAGGCCTGATCAGGGCATCAACCTTGGCAACACCGATGTCATGGAGCTTCTTCACAACCTGTTTGATCTGGTGCTTACTGGCTTTGACATTCACAGTGAACACGAGTGTTGCTGTTCTCGATCTTTCTCATAGCTGCCTGTGGTCAGGGGGAACTTGATAACGGCATAGTGGTCAAGCTTGTTTCTCCTGGGGGCGCTTTTCCAAGGGTATATGGGCTGCCTCCAGAGCTGCAGTGTCTTGGGACAGCAGAAGGTGGGCGATGATCACATATTCTTCTTCTTGTGGCTGTGGGTGCCTTTCAGCATGGCCTTCTTGGCCTTCAAAGCTTTTGCTTTGGCGCCAGCTTTGGGGAGGGCAGGAGCCTTCTGCCCTTCCTTCTTTGCCTTCGGTGCCATCTTGGTAAAAAGCTCTTGCCTCTTTTTTTTTTTTTGGTATAAGGTCTCACTATGCAGTTGACTCACAGCAATCTTCCTGCCTCAGCCTCATCAGTGCTGAGCCAACAGGCTTGCGCCACCATGCCTCATTTTGGAAACAGCAGGGCATGCAGTACTGGGGATTGAACTTGGGACCTTGTACTCACCAGGAAGGCACTTATGCCACGGAGCTATCTCCCCAGCCCTCTTGCTTCTTTCTGAAGCAGTTCTACAAGTCGTCTTTTCTGTCTGAGTGATTAAAAACTGGGTGAATTCAGCTGTACCTTCCACGGGAAAAGCAGGCTCATAGTAATAACAGTATTTGGTCTTTTTTTTTTTTTTTTTAATTTTATTTATTTGCGTGTGTGTGTCCAGCTCAGCCCACCAGGGGGCTGGCTGGCTGGCCTGTGGTGCTGGGGAATTGAACCGCGGTCCCTGTGCTTTGCTAAGCTTGTTCTAAGTAGGTGCTTTAGACCACTGAGCCATCTCACCAGCCCCAGTATTTGGTGTCTTTATCCACTTTTTTTTTTTTGTATTTTAGGGAAGAGTCTACAGGGTGTTCAGGGTCTCACTACTAGATCAGACTCATAGAAATCCACCTGTTTAGAGCCTCCCAAGAGCTGGGATTACAGATGTGCGCCACCACGCCCAGTCTCAATTGCTCAGTGTGCCCCAGGGGCAGGGCTGGCACAGCAGGCCCCGGGATCCAACCCCCAGCCCCTATAACTGCTTGCAGGCACTTTAATCTGCTGTGCTATTTGGCCAGGCCTTTATCTACTTTATTCACTAGCTCTGAAGGCTTGTGACATGTAGGTTCTTCCCCAAAGTCAAAATGACTGTGAAAAGCAAGCACTATGATTCAATCCAGGCCATCCAGTAAACTGTAACAGCTCAACTGCAGAGATGAGAGTTCTACAGCTGCTTCAGAAAGTAGCAGTCATGGGCCGGCAGACAGCTCAGTATACTAAATACTTCCCTGGCAGCGCAAGGGCCTGAGTGCAATCCCTGGTTCCGCCAAAAAAAAAAAAAAAAAAAAAAAAAAAAAAAGGAAAGAAAGTAGCAGTAATGATGGGCTATGTTCAAAGAGAAGGGCATTTTTTTTTTAAGAGTAGGAAAACTTATTGGGCAATAAAAGCTCCTGAGAGACAGGAGGGGTCCTGAATGGGTGGCTGAGGGGAAATATTCTGAGGGGTAGTTAACGGCCACATGTTTTTCAATGTATTATACTTTTGTTAAAAATTAAGACATTCACCATATATTTTGCTCACACCTTGAACACACAGGAAAACTGTACATAGGGTCCAATAATATCTGTAGTTTTGGGCTGAGCTCCACTAGGAGTCCCTTAGAGATAGGGACTACTGGGCAGCTTAACAAAACCCTTTCAAAACCATACCCTTGTGTGGAACTTCAAGATATAATGTAAGGGGCCAGGGAGACAGCTCAGTGGAATCAGCGCTTCCCTGGCAGTGAAGGGCCTGAGTTCAATCCCCAGTTCCGCCCAAAAAAAAAAAAAAAGACATAAAACAAGACTCTCAAACAATTTAGGCTTAACTTGTACCTTATCTGTTTTTTTCAGTTTTGTTTTTGGGTTGTTATGTTTTTCTTTTTTGGTGGCACCAGTCACTGACCTCAGGATCTGAGCTCTCCCTGCCTCCCCACCTTTTGGTTTTCTGAGACAAGACCTCACATGGTCATTCAAGCTGGCCTTGAACTCACTATGTAGCCCAGGCTGGCCTCAAACTCATGATCCTCTTGCCTCAGCCTTCCTAGGATTACAGGGGTGGGAGCAAGCACAGGCAGCCACGCTCATATCTTAAGTGACAAATACCTGAACCAAAAACCTCAGATACCCATCCCCAAACATAAATTAAATACAAGGCTCAGAGAACTTAAGCTGTCTGTGCAAGAAAGGACTGCTCAGCAGGGAACCAAGAATAAAACATGTTTCCTGACTTACAGCTAACCACTTTTGCTATAGACCCCATAGAGTCAGACTTCAGAGCCAGGCCTGAGTAGTGTTTTAACTATTTACTAATTCTGTGAAAAGATGCCTATATATCCGCTTACCTGCTGGGCAGCACCATCTGTGGCCAGCACTCTGCGTTCCTTCAGTTGCCTGTGCAGCAAGGCTTCTACTCCATAGCGCTGGCGATACCGCCGGAGACATTTTAATCGCTTTAAGTTCTCTCGTTCTTTGGCTAAAAGTCCCTCTGGGCCAGTCAGGAGACTGCTGCCTAGAGATTCATGTTCCACTCTGCGGTTATGTAAGTACCGGCGCTTCTTCTCCTTCAGCAGATGCTGAAGTCGTTTAAACTGATCTATGTACAAAGACTGCAAACGAATTAACTTCTCACGCATGATCAGGGCCACTTCTTCTGCTGTGTAGACACCCGCATGTCTGAAATGAAAAGGTTCACAAAAAAAATGCAGCAAAGCATTAAGAAAACACAAAAATAAAACCCAAGTAGAAAAGCACAACAGACTAAGTGCCTGCCTAGGCAAGCACAGGGACCAGGCATCAATGCCTGACACCACATGCCAACCTGCCCCTCCCAGGCATGCTGAGCCAGCAACTGAGTCCTGTGATGGTGGCGCATGCCTGTAATCCAAGCACTGGGGAGGCTGAAAACAGGATTACTAAGAGTCCAAACTGCATAGTGAGGCACGGTACCAACACACACGCACGCACGCACGCACACAGAATGAGAGAACGAGGATGCACGCAGGGAAGAGACGGTGGGAGGGAGCTGGGCTAAGTGGCTTGTAACCAAAACATGTGAGAGGCTGAGGCAGGAGGATCACCATGAGTTTGAGGCCAGCCTGAAATGCACAGCAAGACCCTCTCAAAAGAAAAAAAAAACCCAACCGAACAAAAAAAAGTAAAGTATTACAGGCATGGTGACACATGCCAGGGTCTCACCATGCAGTTCAGTCTGGGCTTGAGCTCGCTTTATGGTCCAGAATGGCCTGGAACTCATAGCAACCCTCCTGCCTCAGTCTCCCAAGTGCTGGGATTACAGGATTGCATTACCACACCCTGCCAAAATACTTTCTAAACTAATACTTCCTGAATAGCTAACCATATTGAAATTACTCAGTATAAATAATTATTCCACTCAAAAATGTAACGCAGCTGGGTACGATGGCACACCCTTGTGATCACAGCACTCCAGAGACTACGAGGGTGGGACCTGGGGCCAACGGCTTACCAATTAAATTCAAGGCCAGCCTGGACTAAAGAGATACAGCTTGTCTTACCCAGGAAGTTAAATGGGCTGGAGATACAGCTCAGTGTGTGTGAAGCCCTGAGCTCAAATGCAAGTACATTTTTTTTTTTTTTTAATTTGGGGGGGGCAGCTCAGCCCACCAGGGGGCGGGGCTGGCTGGCATGTGGTGCTGGGGGATTGAACCGGGTCCCTGTGCTTTGCTGAGCTTGTTCTAAGTAGGTGCTTCAGACCACTGAACCATGTCACCAGCCCCGCAAGTACATTTTTAAAAAAGCCTATTAAGTCTAAAAATTCACAACCCCTCCAGGTATCTAAAGTACTTCTGCCTAAACCATCAGCCAGAGTGTAAAGGTCACAGAGAAGGGCAGCATCCCCCAGTACGGAAAACAACTACAGGTGTAGTTCAGTGGGAGAGTGGGCTAGACGCGCAACCTCCAGCACTGCAATTAAAAGAAAACAAGAGCTAAGGAAACATGAGACTTTGGAGTAGCAAAGCTTTCTGATCCTGTCTCCAAAGGTGATCACAGATAAGTGAAAATGTCAATCTTAGTAAGATGTAATTAAGGGCTGGCCAGACAGCTCAGCAGACTAAAGTGTCTGCTTAAGCAGAGCAAAGCAGCCAGGGTTCGATCCCCAGCAGTGACAGTCAAGACTGGGCGTGGTGGCACACACCTGTAATCCCAGCACTTGGGAGGCTGAAAACAGGAGAATCACTACAAGTTCGATCTAGGTAGTGAGACCTGTACACCCTATCCTAAATTCGTGAAAAAAAAAAAGACGTAATTAAGATAAATCCTCATGGCTCAGTTCCTCCTTCCTGTCCCCAGAATAAACCCAGACTATCCCCTCAGCCCTCTTTCGGAGCTGGGGTTTTGTTAAGTTGCCCAGACTGGGCGCACACCTGCAGTCCTGCCTCAGCCTGCCAGGGTTCAGCATGAGTGCTGCACTCAGGCTTGTTCCCTCTCAATCATGAAAGCAAAGCCAATTGGTGCGTTTACCTTTCGACTTTTCTTTAAAAACCATAAAGACAGCATTTTCTAAAGTAAGAGGTTGGGCTGGTGAGATGGCTCAGTGGTCTAAAGCACCTACTTAGAACAAGCTTCGCAAAGCACAGGGAACGCGGTTCAATGCCCCAGCACCACATGCCAGCCAGCCCCGCCCCCTGGTGGGCTGAGCTGGCTACACACACAAAAATAAATAAATAAAATTTAAAAAATAAATAAATAAA